GAAGGTTGGATTATTTGTTCTTTGAATGTTTGGTAGAACTTATCTGGAAAGCAATCTGAGCCCAGTACTTTGTGGAGAAGGTTTTAAATCTCTGATTCAATCTATGTAAAGTCATAGGATTGTTCAGATTTTCCATTTTTTCTTGAGTTGGGATTGATCACAGTTCTTCACCATCATACACCCCTCCCAGTCCATCTGTTTCGTTTAGGTTTTCAAATGTATTGGGATAAACGTAAGTTGTTCATAATGTCCTCTTTTAATTTTTGTAGTAACTATAGGTATGCCCCTTTTTCATTCCTAAAAGTGCTCTTTGGTGACGTCCTTGGTTTGCCCTTTCCGTGATCCTGCCAGAGGTTATCAGCCCTCTGACATACCAACTTTGGGTGTGTACTTGATCCTGTCTGTTGTAGTTTTTCTATTTTATTAATATTTGCTTCCTTTTATTTTCTCCTAATTTCTGTAGGTTTATTTTCTTTCTTGAGCTTCTGAAGTTATATGGCCAACTCATTCTTTTTGAGACTTTCTGATTTTTTAATATAAGTATTAAGTCTTATAAAAATATAAGACTTGGGGTGGTGCCTGTGGCTCAAAGAAGTAGGGCACCGGCCCCATATGCCGGAGATGGCAGGTTCAAACACAGCCCTGGCCAAAAAAACTGCAAAAAAAAAAAATAATATATATATATGAGACTTATATTTTTTAATATAAGTATTTAATACTGTACATTTTCTTCTAATTACCTCTGTAAGCTGCATCCTCAAGTTTTGATAAATAGTATTTCATCATTTTACAGTTCTAATATTTTATGCTTTCCATTATTATTTCTTATTTGGCCCATAAGTTGTTTAGAAAAATATTTTAAATTTCTAAGCAGTGATGTTCTTACAGTTAGCTTTCTGTCATCAATTTCTAACCTAATTGTGTTGTATTCGAGAAATGTTGGAAGGTACCAAGTCCTTCCCAATATCTGTAGGCTTCCTGTAAGGGGTCAATTTTCATAAATAAACTGTTTGTTCATATGAAGAATATATATTCTAATTATTGGATGATGTGTTTTATATATGTCCATTTTGTCAGCCTTGCTAATTGTATTGTTCAAGTCTCCTATGTACTTAATGATTATTTAATCTCCTGTTCTTTCAGATACGCTAACAGGTATTAAAATCTCCTACCCTATTGACTTGGTAGTTTCTCCCTGTGATCCTGACAGTTTTTGCTTTATATGTATTAATACTTTGGGGCTACCATTTTAGGTTCATGTGAATTTAGAGTTGTTATCTTTTTGGCCAACACTTTATTACTTTGTGATCATCCTCTTTACCTGTAGTAATATTATTTGCCTTAAAATCCATTTTGCTAATATTAATACTTAGCTACACCAGCTTTCTTTTCATTATTGTTTTGCATGGCATTTTTTTCCACCCTCTCAGGAGCTGTCTAGCTTTATACTTTATATGTGTGTCCTATAAACGGTCAATAGCTGGATTTTGTTTTTATCCACTCCGACATTATTTGTATTTTATCTGATGAGTGCTGTCTATTTTCATCCAATATAATTTTAATATACTTTTTCTATTAGTTGTGTTTTATATTTACCTCTATTTTGTCTCTCCTCCTCTTTCTCATTTTGTTTTGAGGGTTATGTGATGAGTTTCTGTTCTCTTTTCATTTTTTCCTCCTTGTTCATGTAGAAATTATATGATCTATTTTTAGTCATCTGATACCTAATCCATTTTTTTTCTTGTGGTTTTATAACTTTATTTGAGGAGTCTGACAATCTCCAGTTAATCCTCATTGACATCACCTATAGATTATTCTTTTTCTTTTCTTTTCTTTTTTTTTTTTTTTTTTTTTGAGACAGAGTCTCAAGCTATCCCCCTGGGTAGAGTGCTGTGGCATTACAGCTCACAGCAACCTCCAACTCCTGGGCTCAAGCGAGTCTCCTGCCTCAGCCTCCCAGGTAGCTGGGACCACAGGCGCCGACCACAACGCAGCCGTCATTGTTGTTTTGGTGGGCCCGGGCTGGATTCGAACCTGCCAGCTCAGGTGTATGTGGCTGGTGCCTTAGCCACTTGAGCCACAGGTGCTGAGCCAACTATAGATTTTTGAAAGTGGTAACAGGTACATAAGTAACCAAAGTAGAGAGCTTGTTGGTGAATCTTCACCTTCATTTCGTCTTCTGGATGATTGCACAGTGTGGGACATTCCTTATGCCTTTGGTCCAGACGGCTTTGTTGAGCCTGGTATCAGTGCGCACATCTGGAGCCCCATCTCTTTCATGGCAAATTCCTGGATCTCTTTGATGCCTGGGAGGCCTCTTGAAGCCCACTCCCTGGATGCGCTGTGAATGGTCACAGTGTGTTCTCATTCTGCACCTCCTAAGGCAGACCAAGCCCTTCTTCTCGCCACCTTCCTTCGAAGGAGCTATTTATTCTGCCTGGCCCAAGTTGGAAAGAAAGAGTGCGAGAGACAGTGGGAGGAGGAAAGGGGTGGCTGCTAACCTATTTTTTAAAACTTCAATACCTAACAAAGTTCAAAGTTAAAAATTTTTCTTCTTCCCCTACAGTTCAGATACCTTAGAAAGTTGAAAGTGTGGCCGCTTGTTTCCTTAGTACTGTTCTGTTCCTTGCCTATCCTCAAATTTGGCATCAAAGAAGTTTATCCACACATTTTACAGCATCTTACCAATCCTTTAAGCCTTTAAGATTTTTTTTTTGTTATTTGTTTGTTTGTTTGTTTTTGACAGAGCCTTTGCCATCCCAGGTAGAATGCAGTGGCATGATTATAGCTCATAGCAACCTCAGACTCCTGGGCTCAAGTGATCCTGCCTCAGGTTCCAGAGTAGCTGGGACCACAGGTGCACACCATTGATGCTCAGCTAATTTTTCAATATTTTTAGTAGAGATGGGGTCTCACTCCTGCTCAGACTAGTCTGGACCTCCTGAGCTCAAGGATCCCCCCACCTCTACCTCCCAGAATGTTAGCAGGCCCAGCCGCCTTTAAGATTTCTAATTTGGCGTTATTTACTTTTTGCATAAGGTAGTAACATGCATTTGAATTTCTGTAAGTGATGGTCTATTATTGGCCAGCTGTCTCAGTTTTTGTCTGAAAATTTCTTTATTTCACCTTGGATCTTAAAAGATATTTTCACTGCATATGGAGTTCTAGGTTGACAGCTGTTTTTAAGAATATTCTTTTTCTTTAGTGTTCTGTAGTTTTATTATGATGTGTCTAGGTAGACATAGTAGACATTTCTAGTTATTTATCCTGCTTGGAACTTGTTGGGACTTTCTACATCTCAAAGTTAATGACTTTCAACAATTTTGCCAAACTCTCGGCCTTTGTCTCTTCAGATGCTGCGTCTTTCCTGTTCTCCCCATTATGTCTGACATCGCTCTGATTTAGACTGAGTTCTTCCCTCACTTTTTCTCCTTATCTCTGAACTTCTTTAAAAATATATTTTTAAAATTTATTTCTTATTTTTATACACATACACACATACATACGCACATGTGCTCTCTCTGGGCTGCATTCCTGGATAAATCAGTTCAGTAATTCTCTTTATGGGCTGACCTCTGCAAGTGGAATGATGGGTTCAGAAGCAGACTAGACTGCTTTGGTGAAACAATGGACACATCCTGGCTCAGCACCCGTAGCACAGTGGTTACCACGCCAGCCACATACACCAAGGTTGGCAGGTTAGAACTCGGCCTGGTCCAGCTAAAACAACGACAACTGCAACAAAAAAATAGCCAGGCATTGTGGTGGGCACCTGTAGTCCGATCCACTTGGGAGGCTGAGGCAAGAGAATTGCTTAAGCCCAAGAGTTGGAGGTTGCTGTGAGCTGTGACGCCACAGCACTCTACCCAAGACAAAACAACAACAATAGATAAATAAATAATAAAATTTAAATAACATAATGCTACTTAGGATGTTTATGCATAATACAGTTTTAAAAATTCTTAAACTGCCGTTTTAAAACTCTAGCTACTTTTGAATTATTTTATGGATTCTAAGAAATCATGACAGGTTTATGTAAGGATTTGTTTTACCCCTAAGATTTTTTGGTTTGTTTTTTGAGACAGTCTCACCCTACCACCTTAGGTAGAGTGCCGTGGTGTCATCATAACTGACAGTAACCTCAAACTCCTGGGTTCAAGTGATTCTCTTGCCTCTGCCTCCCGAGTAGCTGGGCCTATAGGCACCTGCCACAACAGCAGCTAGTTTTTCTATTTTTAGTAGAGACAGGCTCTTGCTCAGGTTGGTCTCAAACTCCTGAACTCAAGCAATCCACCCGCCTCAGTCTCCCAGAGTGCTAGGATTATAGGCATGAGCTACCCTGCTGGGCTAACTCCCAAGTTTTTTAACTTAAGATTGTTTTACTATACTATGCTTATTTCTGTTTTCATCATCAATGTCAAAATGTACTATTCTATTCACATTATCAGTTTCTTTAGCGATTATTCAAATTCAGAGTCATCGTCTTTGACTAATTAAATTTATCATGATCCTTATATTCTACATTTAATGAACACCTAACATTATGCCTTGCATATAGTAGGCACTCAAAATATATGTTCAGTAAATCAAGGTATCTGATACTGTGCTTTTAACTGTATCTTTGAAAAATTTCCTTCCTTAACTACTTCCCCTTCAATGAATTGACTTTTTGCTATTTTTCTTCCTGTCTTTATAAACATTAAATATTCTGCTTTAAACATATTGTTTTGGCATTTTCTCTTACTCAGTACCCCTTTTTAAGTTTCAATGCCCCAAGTCTTGTCTTGAGACAGATATACTTGCTATTTTGTTCTCTAAACCTTTATTGCTTTTCTTAGAAAAATCCTTCCTTCTTTTTTACTTTGTTTTATAGTGAAAAAAATTTTGAGACTGATTCTGTGTTTCATAGTATTTTGATTGCAGTTTTTCTTGGCCTGAGGAACTATTTAATTGTTACTATGTAATCAATAAACATAATGTTATGTATTCTGTATTTTTAGTCTATTGAAGACAATGAAGTATATTTGCCTAATGATGAAATTTGGACCTATGATATTGATAGTGGGTTATGGTAAGTAATTTTGAATTGCAGAATGTCCTGTCATAATGTCTGTTATAAATGTTTTCATAGACCAGAGGGAATTTGAGACCATACTTAGAACACACCGCAACACTTAGGAAGTCTCCCTTGGCTTTGCTTTCGTTGCTTTATTCTCTGTGGCGCAGTCTTCCCACTCCTCCCTTCCCTTTTTCCATTCTTTGTCCTTTGCCATTCCTCGAAAGTTCAGTGCTATCTCTAAAGATGGTGTTTTCTACTAATTCCCAGTTCTGGTGACATGTGAAAATTTCATGGTTTTTCCCCCCCCCAGCAGATGGAAAACTCTTTACCTTGGATCTTCTTAGAGTTGTTATTATATGGCCATTACACTGTAATTGTAATTGACAGTAACAGTTTCATTGCAAAAGGTCGCCACGGAGTTAAAAGAGAATGTTCTTGGCCTTTCTGGAAAGTGAAGCATTCTGTGTCATTCTTGCTGCAGGAGAATGCACCTGATGGAAGGGGAGCTCCCTACCTCCATGTCAGGGAGCTGCGGCGCCTGCGTTAATGGGAAGCTGTACATTTTTGGAGGATACGATGACAAAGGATACAGCAATCGAGTAATGCTTTCTTTTGATTCAGGAGTGCAGCAGAATATAATACCTAATGCATCGTTCCATCTCACAAGTTACAAATGTTTTGAAAAGGAGATATGTGTAGAAAATCCTACATTTGTAATTATAAAGTTTTACAGATAGATTGAAACTACAAGTCTTCCCCCTGCCTTTCTCCTTCAGAACTAGCTGCCTGTTTAATCAGTATATGAAAAACAAGAGCAGGATGGGAAAAGACCTCTTTCAGTATGTTGCAGATATCATTTTTGCCTGTGAAACACTGTCATTTTTATTAATTTTATAATTTTTAAATTTTAGTAGGTAAAAATTTCACCTGTTAAAAAAAAGTAATAGTATTAATGTTTGCATCACAGATCCCTCTGATATATATTTACCATTTAAATGCCCTATCTGCTAATAGTGTTCTTATCTTTTAAAAGCTTTATTTTGTTAATTTGCGAACAAGAGATGGAACCTACATTTGGGAAAAAATCGCCAACTTTGAAGGATTACCACCCACACCACGTGACAAACTTTCCTGCTGGGTCTATAAAGACAGGTAAAGCAGGGCGGTGCCCACGGCTGAGGGGGTAAGGTGCTGGCCCCATATGCCCGTATGCCGAGGGTGGCGAGTTCAAACCTGGCCCCGGGCCAAACTGTAACAACAACAACAAAAAATAGCCAGGTGTTGTGGTGGGTACCTGTAGTCCCAGCTACTTGGGAGGCTGAGGCAAGAGAATCACCTAAGCCCAGGAATTGGAGGTTGCTGTGAGCTGTGAGGCCATGGCACTCTACCAAGGGCAATAAAGTGAGACTCTGGGCTCGGCACCTATAGCTCAACGGGCTAAGGCGCCAGCCACGTACACCTAAGGTGGCGGGTTCGAATCCCCAGCCCGGACCCGCCAAACAACAATGACGGCTGCAACCAAAAAAATAGCCAGGCGTTGTGGCGGGCGCCTGTGGTCCCAGCTACTTGGGAGGCGGAGGCAGGAGACTCGCTTGAGCCCAGGAGTGGGAGGTTGCTGTGAGCTGTAATGCCACGGCACTCTGCCCAGGGGGATAGCTTGAGGCTCTGTCTCAAAAAAAAAAAAAGTGAGACTCTGTCTTTAAAACAGAAAAAGACAGATAAAGCAGCACCCACACTTAACACATTAACTGTACTGAAGTGAGAATAATGGCCGTTGGCCAAAAGAGAGAAAACTAGAAAGTGTGATGTTTTTCAACACATGAGTATGAGCACGTTTTGGTGCTAGTGGTCAGGGCAGTGGTATTGTCCAGCTCAGCCATGTAACACAAACACTTGTGCTACCTTAATATCTAAAATTGGCTTGTTAGATCAAGACAGAAGATCTTTTTCAACTTTCTGTGAACAAAGTGGAAACAGAACTCCCGACACGTGTCCTTTGTCTGTTTTTTCAGATTAATATATTTTGGTGGTTATGGGTGTAGGAGACATAATGAACTCCAAGACTGTTTTGATGTTCATGATGCGTCTTGGGTAAGAGAGTAATCACTGTTTACGTTTTCCTCTAATTCAGTATTTTCCTTAAAGCCGTAGAAATAATGAGCCCAGTCTTTCTCATTTTAGGAGCTACCAGTTTGCCATAAGAAAAAGAAATGTGTTTTCTCTCCTTTAGATTTGAAGCAGGTTGCTGAAAGGTCTGGTCTAGTAGGATGAGCCCTTCTGGCTATTGGCTGAGTGACCTGAGTTCTTATACTGCTAATCACTTCTGTGTGCACACCTGCTTCTGTTGGATGGTAGAGGCTTTAGCACATTTGGGGCACTGTTGTTCTTATTTTCAAATTTAATCATACACCTCTTTTTAGATATGTCCACTAGAATTAGTCATAAGCTCAGACTGGCCTCCACAGAACAGTGAGTTGGCAATAATCATAATTTTCTTACTTATTCTTACTGATTAGGAAATAAATCTTTTTTTTTTTTTTTTTTTGTAGAGACAGAGTCTCACTTTATTCCCCTCAGTAGAGTGCTGTAACGTCACAGCTCACAGCAACCTCCAACTCCTGGGCTTAGGTGATGTTCTTGTCTCAGCCTCCCGAGTAGCTGGGACTACAGGTGCCTGCCACAAGGCCCGGCTATCTTTTTGTTGCAGTTTGGCTGGGGCCAGGTTTGAACCTGCCACCCTCGGTATATGGGGCCGGCACCCTACCCAGTGAGCCACAGGTGCAACCCAGAAATAAATCATTTTTAATGAAAGAAGTCATGAATTGCAAAAATGAAAACTTTTAGATTATTTTTAGAACCATTGACTCAGGCTTAGTGCCTGTAGCTTAAGCAGCTAAGGCCCCAGCTACATACACCAAAGCTGGCGGGTTCGAATCTAGCCCAGACCCGCCAAACAGTGACAGTTACAACCAAAAAATAGCTGGGCATTGTGGTGGGCGCCTGTAGTCACAGCTACTCAGGAGGCTGAGGCAAGAGAATCGCTTAAGCCCAGGAGTTGGAGGTTTCTGTGAGCAGTGAAGCCACAGCACTCTACCCAGGGTGACAGCTTGAGGCTCTGTCTCAAAAAAAAAAAAAAAAAAAGAAATGTATTTAAAGCTCTGCTACTTAAAGTATTACTGATAATTTTCAGGACTATAATTACTAATTATTTATGTCTAATTATTTTTCCTCATCAGTGAAATCACTCATTTTTTTCTCTCCTACTACAATTAGTTTAGCTAATGAACATGTCCTGAAGTTTCTGGAGCACAAGTAGGGTTTTTCCATTTAATTCTAAACTAAGTAAATCATTTAGTTTGTTCAATTTGCTTGACAAATCCTGGTAAAAATGAAATGTATTTCTGACATGGAATGTAAAACTGGCACAGAAGTAAGCTGGAGTTGTGAAGAGGATTTAAACACGTTGGAAGATGCTAAGTACAGTCGAACTAACCAACTGCTCAGTCTTCACCTTGCTCACAAAGAAGCCTTCTCTCTTAGAAGATAAAGAAGAGAGTGCGCATAAGTTTAACTATAAGAACAAATTGCTTGATGAAGTTGGACGTTTTTTTAACAAAGGACCCATGGCCCACTAAAGTTTGGGAGTTTTGATCATTTGCTTTAGGAAAACAGATTTCAAAACATAAACATCATTCTGTGTCCTGCCATTTTAATAGAAATAATCCTTTGAGAGAGTTGAAAGATTGTCCATAAGTAAAATGATTCAGTGCCAGGAATACT